AAAAAAAAACATGGGAGACCTGGAACGTTTTTAAAAATTTATGGTTCAGAAATTTGTGATTTGTTTCGATAATATTCCGCTCCAGGAAGGAAAAAATCCCTGACGGATATTCGCAGTACAGATATTCTCAGTGCCAGAACAAAAACGACTCTGAATCATAAACGTACACACAAAAAATGAGACGCTGTATTTGAAATACGGAAGGAGCTACGTCAGGGCGTTTGCCCATCTTGAAAAGTTTAGCCTAAAGTTTTCAAGTTCGTCTGAGTTCGTCGTTTACAATCCGTGTTCTACATCCTTAGCCATCCTTGTTCCTTTATGGTTTATTATTACCTCTTTGGTGTTTTTCCGCACCAGCAAGCTGCTATTTTCAGGTTTCCTTCAATTTAAAGGTAATTCTGCTCGCGGCCAAAAGAACTCAAAATACCGTCAACGAGCTCCTTTAAGGGCGCGCGAAAATGTATAGAGTATTTGTTACCACGCAACAGCCGATCAGAAAATGGATCTCTGTGGAGCTGCGTCATCAGAGGGGATTTTTTTGGTTCCATTCTCAGACGTTACTCTCGCAGAGTACAGAGTACAATATATGAAATTCAAATTGCTTACCAAGAACCAAATAATGATACCAGAAAAGGTTGCTGTAAGTAAAATGAAGACCATTATAGGCCAAGCTTTTAGAATTGTCGTGGCGATAGCATGAGTCTTGGTTGTTCTTTCGTTCCCATCATACGCCAGGAGCACCACACTGGGTACGCGCACTAACGGGATGAACGGGTGGTCCCGAAACGATCTCGTTCCCGCGGGCGCGTGTATCGGGAAAGTAAAATCATAGTCGTTAGCGTTATCACTCAGGAAATGATCTTCCGCGTCCAGCGGCTTTTTCCATAGCCTGGCAAACTTAATTTTGTCAGCTCCTCCTTGGCAGCAGTAATCCAGGGTGTCCCCTAGTAGAGAGGGGAACATTCCGCGAACGTGAATATCTTTGAGATCGGTAGCAAAAGAGGCGTAGGGATGACTGAAGTGGAAAGAAAACGATAACGGACCCTTGACAGAACCAAAGCATCTCTCGTCCAAAGATATTTGCCTGGTCACGTTCTTTAGATGTTGAAGTTCCTTGTTGGTTCTTAGATTTGCAGATTTCTTGGTTAAATCGAGGAGTGATTTTGAAATGCTGAACCCATCAGTGTCGTTCTTGTTCTTTGACCAAGGAAGAAAGACGCTTTGCACCAGGAAAGACTTCCCCAGTAGAAGAACAGTTGTAATTATCAGGCGAGACAGTTGCATGTTGGATTAAGGATCTGCAAAGAACGCAACTGCTGCATTAACCATGTTTAAAGGTATTATATCTGCAATTATACAATTTTGATAAACTGAAATACCGTAATCTGCCGCTTATAATCCCCCTTACCTATAATCCCCCCCGATTATAAGTCCTCCCCTCTAGCTTTCCTTGTTTTGAACTCGTTTTATTATGAAGTTTCAAAGCTTAATTACCAGTAAATGAAAACCCTATTTCGATCAACATGTGCAGCTATAGCTAGTTTCGAAATGTTTTTTTTTTATTCCGGTTATAAGCCCTTTCGGATATAAGCCCGTCCGTTTATAAGCCTATCTAAACCCCTTACGAAGTTGTATAAGCCCAGGGCTTATAAGCGGCAGTTTACGATATTTCAGATATCGATAGCCATGTCTGGTTCCTTGTTATGTAAAGTTTCAATCAATTTTCTAATGAGCACCAGGCTATGAGCACCGTTCAGATCATTTACCATGGTGGCGATGGAGCTGGAGGCCGCGTGGCCGAGTGATCAGCACGTCGGATTCGCAATCCATAGGTCCTGAGTTCCGCTCTGACCATTACCTGGATTTGTTTCACGGTAGCTCCGAGTTCAAAGCTCAGCCACGCTTGCAAATAGCCAACTGGTTTGCCTCCAGCCAGTTGGGAATCTTAACAGTGTTATGTTAGATTCGAATTATTTGTTTTAATTGTTTGCTCGGCCCCGCTAGCATTTGTGCTATAAACACTACCAAGGGTAGCAAAAGTTATTTATTATTATTCTTCATCGTATTCAGCCACAATAGATACCTTGAGACGCTTGTCCTTATATATCAACAGATAAGAACAGCAGATAAGAACTACTTTAACTTCGGCACGATGAAAAATATTTCAACCAAGTTTAGTATGACTACAGTTTGATCAATCCAGGATAATTCGATATAAATGTTTTCCTAAAATAAGAGCTGACATTAAAAATTCGCGTCGAGGTTTTCACATCCCTCTATCATTTATTCATAAGTGTTTAACGCTAACATCTTCCCTTTTCATTTTAAGAGTGTTGTTATATTTAGTTTTCCTTTTGAGACAATAAACACCCTTTTCTCAACCGATTCATGGTGATAAACTGATAGCTATAGAAAGGTGCTAAACTGAACGATTTCGCAACATTCCGCGCCGTTAGCTATTTTCCTCTCCTAACAAGTAAAAAGCTTTTAACGCATGAAAACCACATCAAAAGCTCCGGCACGAATGACAGCTTTTAATGGAAATATTTATGAACTTCTCCCCTCATTAGCCTCATAAAATGCTTTTAAGCTTTTGAAAAGAATGCTCATGTGACAAATAGGTAAAAGTGTTAAACTGCTATTAACTGGAAGCCATATAAACTGATCGCTTGGTTTTATCACCGGCAACGCCAACCGTATGGAGATAAAAAATATCGTTTGCCAAAATTGAACCAGACTGTGCAATACTTCTAAACTTTTTACCCTAGAGTCCTTTCTACTGCAGTCTTTCATTAATCTATCTTGGTTTCAACAGAAATATTTTCAGTCATGATTGAGACTTCGAAAAGAACATTTTTGTGAGTCGCCATATTGCCAGTGGTCTTCTGACAGATAGTAATTCTGCTGAATAATAACAATATGCTTGTATGTTTTACTCTATTGCCGACGGAGTTTTACATAATTAGACAAGTTGCTCGGCAAAAAGAGGCGTTTGCTGTAATTTATAATGCATTAAGCCGCTCTTAACCTAAGGCTTCGATCAGTACGAAGCGTAAAAAGCTGTTCTATTCATTTGATAAGAATCGAAAGTGTACCTAGTGACGAATCAAGTTGGTGAAGTACCTTTTTTGAGAGTTGTTTGTAATCCAAATTTTAGTGTAATTCCTAAACTGTGGGGACTTAATCGTCAGACAAGCCGGCAGTCGCCCCTCACACCATGTGGAATTATTACGATACTATCAACACAAAGTTTTTTATACACTCTGGCGTCACTCTAATTGTCCGCTCCCAGACTGAAGTAAAGTGGATGAGAATTTTAACTGCAAATAAAGCTCCTAAACGTTCTTAGCTGCGGTTTCCAGACTTAATCTTGAGTTCCTGATCAGGTCTAAAGAGTAATTAAGTAAATGCATTCTGCTCTGAACAACCGAGGCGGCAATAGTAAACTGTATGGTAGTTTTTATTTATACTTTTCCGCAGTGAACCGGAGATGGTATTGTTTTCATTCATATAATGTTTGTTATAGTCTATACTTTTGTGCGGCTTAAACTTTTTATTAATAGAAATCTTTTTGCGATCGTAAAAGCAGAAAGAAAATAGCTTCTGATTAAAAACAACAGCGTCGTGTTATTAAAAACAGCATTGAATTTACTTGTTCCATGAAAATAATGTGAAGCGTACTTGGATCGGTTTAGGACAAACGCTTTAAGCTTTTAAAAGCTGTCGGCAGATCAGTTGTGACTGACATAGTAAAACTTAGTAGCGTTTCAGAGTGACTTCGTTTATTGTTGTCGTACCACGCTGAGTTGTTTGACATTTTCAATCTGTCATAATGGTCGTTTTGGATTTCATAGCGTGGAAATTTCAAAAGATTAATTTTGACGCCTGAAAGAACTCGCCTGGCGCACAGTTAAACCAAAATGGAACCTTCGGTTGATGAAAACGAATCTCACGCTTAAGTTAAAATGCCGCAGGAAAAACTTTTTAGAGTTCGTCGTTGCCAGAATCAGCTTTGGATTGCGTTGAATAATAGATATTTTTCTCAAATCGTGTCTTATTTATTAATGTTTTTTGAAATCTAACAAGATCCCATGCTGTTGTCAAGATGTTCCGTCTTAGCAAACTATTCCCAAACTAATGCCCGTCCTTTACTAGAAAGAAGTCATCTGCATTCAGTATTGGTTTCCGTTTGGTTTTAAAAGAGATATTTCACCAGTACTTTCGAAATGATACTATTGTTGATTCGCTATCGCTAAACGTCTGAAGTTTTCCTTTAAAAAAAAAAACGAAGTTAACCGATACAGTGTTGCCTATACCATGCGGCCATTAGCGTTAAACGCTAATTGTGAAGTTACAGAGCTCACCTCAACTTGCCATAAACCGCTTTCCTTATCTTTAGCTCTTCCACTGTCAACGCCTGCTCTAAAATGAAGAGGGTCTCCAAATGTACGCTTTTGTTTTGCTTTCGTTAAAGTGTTCCCCAGGCTTGGTCACTAATGACGTTAAAGTATCGTATGCGGTTCCTTATTTATTATCTACTTGTCTTGGCGTGTATTGCATGCAATATTAATAACAATTTGTTAGACATTTCTACTCTTGAACGTGAATTATGCAATGTTTACAGTGCGTTTAAGAGCTGAAAATTTGTGATATTTTAAGGGGCTGGGTTAAGATTTTAAGATAGTGTAAACACATTACGGAAACCAAGCACAGTTGTAAAAGGTTTGAAAACCGCGCACAAACCATCATGGCCGTGAAATGAATATTATTACAAGGGAAACGTTCAAGAAAAAAAAACATTTACACAAGGACTGCAAAAAGCCGTGGATTTTTTCGCTTGGTTTTAGTCTTTGAATTTAGTCAATCATGTGCTTATTTATTTCTTGACATCTTTATGTGTTTTGTTTTATTCATTAATACTTTTTATTATATGGCTTTGGCTTGTGGCCGATATAACGCGCGCTCTGATTGGTTAATTGTCACTGAATTGTAGGGCATTATTCTCCCGTAATGCCCAC